TTTGTAATTAGCTACATATATTGATCTGAACAGTTTGCTGAAAAGTTAGTTTTTACAAAGGACCTTAGAAGGTAAAAGACTATGGCACTAATTACACAAATGGTTAATTCATTGTATTTTTAAAAGTAGAGATAAAAAAGATTTGGAAATACTGTCACTAGCTCTACTCTTCCAAATTTCACCTTGATTACTTTTTCAAGCATAGTGCATTACCAGTGGTAATACAGATGCATGGACAAATAGGGTAACAATCAGAGATGAGAACCAAATTCTGAACACTTTGGTTACCTGAACATCCTGAAAGATAATGGAGGTGCTTCTGGCCTCTAAATTCATCCCTGCAAAAGTTTAACAGCATGTAACAAAAGCTGCTGCTGTACTCAGATGGGGGCCCTCTGAGTTTATGATCTCAGGAAGAAAAACAGTTTTATGATGTCTTGTTTTTCAAACTTCACTCATACTCTTGAGTCCATTCGGTCTTTAGAATGACTGCATCTCAGATTGCAGCTCCAACATTTCTTTCATTCAAAATGATCTATTCATCTGTATTCATAAACATGTCAATCTACTGGTTCAAAAAATCCAACCAACCCTCCAATAACAAAAAAACAACTAAAAGCTTCTCATTAATCCACCTCCCTCATTAGCTAGGATTAAAAACCTTAGTCAAAATGATTGGCCTTGTGCCCAGAAAAGCTATGAGATCAATAATCCAAACAGACTTAATGATCCTCTTACAAAAGAATAACTTTTGTACTTCTCCTACAGAACACTTTGAAAAAGTGAAGGGAAAAATACAAGAAATGTCACATCATCTGCCTAAGTTAATTTATCTGATGGTTTGGAGTGGTACAGTTGGGGGAGGGACTTTGGGAAATAGGGTTTTTTTTTCTTCTCTGTTAAATGACATTTACTGTCTGCAAAAACAGTAATGTGAAAAATCACAAACTGTATCAGTGATTAGCCTGTAAGAGCCTAAGAAGTTTCATTAACATTTCCAGTATCTCATTTCACTCATGAGCAGTTTAAAATTATGGCATTTGTATTCCTATACAAGATCAGTATTCTTTAAGACTTTTATTTAGGCAATTCAACTTGTTGGTATCCTTATTTCGACACTACTAATTACAGCTTCTAACTTCTAAAAGTTTGATTTTTGTTTTACAAACTCAAGTGTTGATGGGAAGAAAAAGAAAACCAAACTAAAACCTACTGTATAGTTCTCTATCAGCACAAGAAGGTGTTATAAAAAGGCAGTGCCTTTGACTGAAGCAGGCTATAAACTCCACGGCGAACATTTGTCTGTGGATAGAATGGAAATGTCTTGGGGTAGAGACTGGCAGATACTCAGCAGAGCATATATGTTGCATGTCGGTGTGCTAGAAAATGGTCAGGCTGGGCTAACTGCAGCTATGGGGGAATTAGCTATCTAATCAGCGCTCATCATCTACAGTTACTGGAAAAAAGCAGGCATATCTGTAGCCCAATTCATGCCATATATTTTGGGAGGGAATAAACCACTTTTGAATGGCCTGGGCTTTGCTATTTACTCTAGAAACCCTACACAACCAGTCTGAGTCTTAAATTTGTTCTTACTCAGAAATGCTGCTTGCATAGCCAGGGTTGGCACACGGGAAATCCTGCGTGGAAGCTGAAAAGCTGTTTGATCTTGCGCTTCTCTCCTCTGCTCAATGAGTGGAAGAGGGGACAGCTATGCAGACCTTCCTCCAGGAATACCACCGGGATCAGGTGGCTCATTTCACATGGGGCTACTCAGCGATGTCGCAGGAGGAGGTGAGGGCTGAGCTCTCAGTGGAGCAGGGATGTCAATTCCCTTCAAGGCTGGACCAGGTCCTCCAGAGCCAGCGAGGGAAGAAAAGGCAAGCCCAGGGGGACAGCCGCGAGGGGAAAGGTTGGGGCACTACACGGCGAGGGCTTGGGAAGCAGATAGTGGAGGTGAGGTAGGAGCTGAGCAAATGCTGGAACCCAAAAGGGTGCAATCTGATGGAAGAGAGGCTGCAGAAAGGAGGACTACCAACGGGCATTTGGAGCGGCTATGCAGCAGGCTTGAGAACCCAGATAGGAAGTACGGACCCTTTTGCAAAAAGCAGCATTTGTTTTGTGGGGAGAAAAAGGGAAGGCAATTAACCTGTCATCCTCTGGGTGTGTTCTGTTCCTACAAAGCCACAGCATCGTCCCGGGAGATAGATGTCTGCCTAGGAAACATAGGGCAATCTGGGCACAGCAGTGTAAGGCTAGCATCTCTCTCCATTTTGCCACTGAAGTTACTTACTGAAATCCAGTTTCTAAGATCAGTGATAATTACTTCATGCTTACACAGAAAGATGTCTTAAAAAATGTATTCATGCATTGGAAGTGTACTGCCCCTCACTTTGACTGGAGATAACTGCATAGTTTTAACAGTGCTTCAGTCTGCACCATTACTGCTTCTGTAAAGGTCATTATGTCCACTTTCACAAAAGAAAACTTATTAAGAAAGAAAACTATTTACATCCCATTTTTCGGAGGAAAAAAAATACTTTGCTAACTCCGTTACATAATTTTCACAGTTCAGCTTTTCAAACTATGAAGGAAAATTTTTTCAGACTCATTATCAAGCCACTACTCAGGCAAGCAGCTCTCCCCTAATAAGCAGCAGCTTCCAGGGCTGCACAGCTGAGGAAATGCAGAGACCTTCTACACAGCAGCTGCCGACACACTTTCCCTGTTAAACAAATCTCTTTAAGCGTAACTGAAAAAAATCTCCTTCTCTCTCACCTAGACACACTATGAAAAGAATTGCTTAATAGATGTCAGCTGAAGGGTATAAAAACAAACCTGAAAGATCTACAGCAGTAATGATTTTTAAGTTGGTATTGGTGATGCAAAATAAAATCTAGTCCCCAAGTAAGTTCCACTAGGAAAGCTAAGGAAACGTAAAGCAACAGCAACCTTTGTAAAATACGGCTGTGCTACCAAAGCAAACATGCTAAGACAGTCTGAGACTGAAACAGTAAAAATAAACAAGATAAAGTTACTAAAAGAATCAATTCCCTATCTCTGTTGTTTGCAAACACGAGAAAACGGAAAACATTTCCGTAGGAATAATTTTTCTGAGCAAAAGCCCTGTAATTGGTTCTGGTTCACTAGAGATTAATAAATAATAATATCCTAGCTGCTAGAGTACCAGATGTAACATGGCACTTGTTCTGCAGGCAATACTAAAATCATACGTGGAAAGAGTTAATAACTTCACTTTAAAATAATACTTATACTTTTCTTATGGTTTCAGTAATAAATGCTTTTAATTACCCAGGCAAAGGAGCCATAATAAGACAATCACTACTGGAAGCCTTCAAACAAGTACCTCACTCAAAGATGGATGCTATTCCAGTCAAATGTTCCAAGTTCAACTAATGTGATACCATTTCGCCTCCTTCTTGAAGCGAGACCATTTTGAAGACTGATTCTTCCGTATTCATTGTAGCACTTCAGTTTTAAACCTGATCTAATGAACAGCCATAGATGCTATGGACTCTAAACATAAAGAATTGACATGTTAGCATATTAATGTACTCAGATGTCACATAAATCATTAGAAGACAGTTTACTGAATGACTCATATCTGGCAATACACATGCAAAGCCTCTTCAGCTCTTAAATATAAAGCAACCTCCTTTTGGCAAGTCCTGATTAGAGCAACATTGATTGTAGTTATTTATAGCTCAAATGCTATTGCTGAAAATTTCTCAAAGTTGTAGATACTGTATTATTAACTATAGTAAAGCTCTAAAAATCAGTCAGCAGAGGCCACTTCAATCTCCGCATGATAATAAAGGATTATTATGTGCAGTAACCTATTTATGAAAAGGAAACAGTGTGCTTCTTTCAGACTCCATCAATTGCTTTAATAAGGAATTGAAAAGCCTGGCCTACTTTATATGCAGATCACCATCCCAGTTGCATAAGGATTTACAATAGACAAAACAAAACTGTTTTTGTTGTAAATAAGGGCTGTTTGTTTAAATCGCACAATAATGTTTGCATCTCAAAATTATTTGGAAGCTAATAAGGCTTAATAAAGTTTGACTGTATACTTGTTAATAAAAATGGTTTCAATATTCTCCAGGAAGGAAATGTAAATTGAAGGTGATAACGTAAAGCTTGAAGTAAAACAGGCCTGAGTTAATGGGAAAGGAGAAGACTTAGTGCATTTGTTCACTGATGGGCTTAAGAAAACCAACGTTGAGAATGGAATTCGGTTAACTTAAAACATTTTCTAAAATTTAAGATAACGAACTTAATAGTATTCTCCAGTAGATTAGAATTATTGCAACATTACTTTTGCTTTAGAGACTGAAAACTTGGCATGGTTCAGACTACTGAAAGTTAGTGTGATGCACATACCGATTGCTGCTACCTTGCTTTGGAGGACTCGAGAGACCCAGGTTCAAATTTTACCTTTGGCATTGGTTCATTTGCCTGTATGTTAATAAATTTAATGAGGTGTGGGATGACCCCTGCTGGTGTCCCTGCTTATAAAAAAAATTATGTATCTGGCAGGAAAAGGACATGTTAATTCAGTCCAAAAAAGTTACAAATATAAACTCTGTCGTAAAATGTATAAAAATACCTAATTTAATGCATAAAATATTATAAGTAATGTTCTTTTAAGTATGAAGATAATCTTAGACCAGTGAACATTACTGTGTTAGAGCTGCAATGCAACGTATTAAGAAGGACATTAATTGTTCAGTTCACTATGACATTGTGTTAAACGTCTTTTATTAATGAGCTGTTACTCCCAGCTGAGGCATTTGATAACCTCTAGTCCATTGCAAAATCCTCTCAGTTGATTTCAGTGGATCACTCTAAACAAACCTAGAGGGAAAAAATACCCCAATAATTTACATTTGAGTCCGTAAGGTCCTAGAACTAGATTCATTTAAAGGAGGGCAGCTTTCCTATAAATCGAACCTTCTGATTTAATGCAGCTGACATATAGATCTATTTTACAATTTTTTTTTAATTTCAAAAATACAACACATTAAAATAGGTTCAATTTATCAAAGCTAAGAGCAACAATTAAGTAATAATGTACTTAAAGTGCAAAGGCACTTTAACACAAAAAAGTGACGCCCAGTGGCTATACTTGGTAATTGAAACAGCAGTACTGTATATTATTATTTACAAAAGAAAGTCATAGTCCAGGAAAAAAGATCTTTGGAGATCTTCTATATAATACATTAAGTTTCCACTTTGAAATGAAAAGAAAAAAAACAACAGAAAACCCAAAGACCCCCTTCCTCATTTCCTTCCAAATCAAAAAGAATTATGCAAGATCTATTACAGAAACATACATTTGCAGTGACAGCTCCTACAGAAGGGTCAAAAGGAGAGAGATATAGAAATAATTTAAAGGGAACGTTGCAAAAGCAACACCATATCCCTGCTATGCTGTAAGGGTTCCATTTCTCTCTCACTCCCTCTCTAATTTTAAAAAGTGGAAATGTTGGGAATGCGACAGATGAATGACATCGGCACTGAGTTCAGACTCAATCAAATGTGATGCTGAGCTCATTTAAAAATTTTCCTTTGTCTCCCACCTCCCCCCCTCACAGCTGACTGATTGCAGTTTGTTTTTCCAGAACTTCGAGGTAGTCTGGTTCTGTTTGTAGCTTTCCTTGGAGTAAAGGATGCTCGGGTTTAGACTGTTCTGCAAAATATTTCCTGGGAGTTCCATATAAAACAGTTTTATTTATCCTGTCCTGGTTTTGGCGTCTTGATTCATATGAAGGGGCAAACTGCCTTTTGGGTAAGGTGCAAAAGTTATAATGAACTAATCCTCCGGTGGGGAGTTCCTTGACCCTTTCTGCAATATTTTGATACAGAAGCTCTGGTTCCCTTGGCGAGGACTGCTTTTCCAGTAATTCAGCTGCACTGATTGTAAATGCGAGACTGGCAGGGTCTTCCTTTTTGTGGTCAAGATTGCTATAGCTAAACTCATGGAGATTCCTGTAATAGGCAACCGGATCCCCTTCCTTTTGCATGTAGATTGGGTTTTGGCACATCTGTCCGACCGGAGGGGGAATGTAGTTATAAACATGTCCTTCAGTTTTATCGTGGGTCTCAGTGTTGTAAGACCCGTACTGGAGCTGGAACGAACTTATATCTAAGTTGTTTGCGCTGCTGGGCATGCTTTGCACCCCCTTCCGGCGCTTAAGGACAAAGACAAACAGGCCTGCCCCAAAACAGACGGACAAAATAAACACAACCAGCAAGCCTAAAATTAAGACAGACAGCGGAACTTCAGTGTGGATTTCTGGGTAGGAGCTGGGCGAGGCACCGAGGAGATGGGGTGTATCTGTGTTCTGGTTCATGGAGAGGAGAGAAGAATCTGACAAGTTGGGGTTCTCTGGGCAGATGGCTTCTTTGCTCAGGAATTTCAGGTGCTCTCCAGAGTGCTTGGTGGGAGACTCGCATATGACTTCGTTGATAACTACGGGGGGATTTGACTGCTGGTTGTTCTGGTCGGTGACTTGCTCTATCCAGTTCCTCAGCCCCAGGATGTCACACGTGCAGTCCCAAGGGTTCTCCTGGAGGTCTATCTGAATCAGAGCCGAGAGCTGGTCCAAGACTCCTCTCACGGGCAGGTGTGAGAAATGGTTGTTTCTCAGGTTGAGTCTGGTGAGGGAAGTGCCGCCAAAGACGTTGTCGGGCAAGGATCTGAGCAGGTTGTTATTGAGAAATAAGAGATGAAGATTACTCAGAGCATCAAAGGTGCGTGGCAGGATCTCCTTGATGACATTGTACTCTAGGTAGAGATACTGCAGGCTGTGCAGCCCGGCGAACATAGACGGGTACAGAATCTCAAGGTAGTTGCCGTTAAGGTAAAGTCTGCGTAAACTTGTGAGGTTTGTAAAGGCACCTTCTTGTATCACTGCAATTCTGTTATTTCCTAGATGTAACAAATCCAGAGAGCTGTACTCTGCGAGATCGGTTCTATAAATGACTTGCAGATAGTTACTGGTAAGGTAAAGTTTCTTTGGACTGGTCGGCCTAGGGTGGAGTTCGGAGATGTTACTTATCTTTTTCTCTTGGCAGTTCACATTTAAGCCGTTGTCTGAGCTCTGCGAAGTACAGATGCAGCCAGCTGGGCAGGTGATGGGCACGGGAGACTTTGTCTGGTAAACCATGATAGGTCCGAATATCTGTCTGTCTTTCGACACAGTGACACGGGGTGTGGGGCGGTTCCTAGTTTTGGGTGGCCGGCTGGCTTTTGGGGCTCTGGTGGGATTGATGGCAGAGTTGGCTGTGGGCGATAGCCTCGAGATGTGCGGGTCTGAGAGGACAGGGTGTTTTTCCCTCTGGTTGGAATCACTGGAGCTTTTCCTAGGGCAGAGATCTTGCCTGGTGAGCTGGGTCACATCTTTCCCGTGAAGCCTGAAGGGTGTTTCGCAGACTATCTCACCCACGAACACGGTGATGGTGTCGAGCCAGGCCTTGAGGGGCAGCAAGTCGCACGTGCAGTTCCAAGGGTTCTCCTCCAGCTGGATTTCCATGATGCCTCCGATGTGCTCCAGCACACCAGCAAAAGGCATCATCTTCAGCCGGTTCCCCCGCAGGTCCAGGTGGGTGAGGAGCACGAAGCGGAAGACATTGCTGGGCAGGGACAGGAGGAGGTTGTCGTTGAGAATCAGCACCTTGAGCTTGTTTAGCTTGCTGAAGGCTCCCGCCTCAATGGCACTGATGTAGTTGTAATCAGCCTGCAGGTACTCCAGACTCTCCAAGCCCAGGAACGTGTCCTCCTTCAGCACTTCCAGCTTGTTGTTATTGAGGTGCAGCCTCTTGAGGGTGCGGAGGCCGCTGAAGGCCCCCGTGCGGATCTCCTGCATGTCGTTGTTGCCCAAGTGGAGGGTCACGGCGTTGGAGTAGTTGACGAACTCATTGGGGAACAGGCGGGTCAGCGCGTTCCCGTTGAGAAACAGCTGGTAGATCTTGGACGGTGGCGGCAGGAGGAGGCTGACGGTTGTAAATCCTTTGTTTTCACAATTAATGTTCAGCACGTTCTCCTTCTCCTCACAAGGGCAGCGGCTCTTGCTGCAAATGTCTTTGGCAGGTTTGCGACTCTCCGTCTGCGAGATCCCAGCCACTGTTAACAAACTGAGCAACCAAACACCCTTCAGCATCTTTATGCGCCGTCGATCGCCGCTTCGGTACCTACAGTCAAACCTTTCGAGACAGGTAAGGAGAGAAAGAAGAAGTCCCCAGTGAAAACGCCCAGGAGCAGAGGCTGCGAGGGGAGGGCACAGCAGGTGGCAAGGCTGGAGGGGGGCAAGGGGGCACCGGCGAGGCAGCGACTCGCAGAACTCCTCCGAAATCCCCCTCCTCCGCCCCTCCTTTGCCTCTCGGGGAGCGCCCGCGGAGCCGCCGTGGGGGAAGCCCCGTCGGGGAGCTCTCCGAAACCCGGCGTCCCCGGCGCTGCCCTCCCCGCCCG